ACCGCAGCCACCCCGCCTGACACGTACTTTTAAAACGGGGAGTGGGGGGAGAGAAAAAAAAAAAAGTATTCTGGAAGTGGCGCTTTCATCATTTCCAGTGTGTCAGTTCAGCTGCTGGGTTGTCCCTTTGATTGGAAATTCTGCCTACCTGTAAAACCTAAAGATGGCTGTGAGTGTCACGCCGATCCGGGACACAAAATGGCTAACGCTGGAAGTGTGTAGGGAGTTCCAAAGGGGGACTTGCTCACGACCAGACACGGAATGTAAATTTGCACACCCATCGAAAAGCTGCCAAGTTGAAAACGGACGCGTAATCGCCTGCTTTGATTCATTGAAAGTGAGTAAATGTTACATTATTTTCAAGGATGTACGGTTAATGAAAGAAGCGGTTGTAGCCAGAGAAACCCTGGAGCCCAAAAGGGAGCGACTGCTGGCTGCCGGCAGTGGGATGTTTTGCTGCTGTTGTTTTATTGATGCTTGTTGATTTGGTTTGCTGTTTTCCTCAGGGGAAGGGGGAAAGTAGGGGGAATGAAGGGAAAATGCGCCTGGCAGGGCTCGAATCCTCCGGTGTGGCTACAGCGACTGGTCCTTTGCCTCCAAATCTTTCTCTGCCTGTAGCTGGGATAAAGGACGCTTCACGTAGAAAGAGCAAAGTCACTGTAAGGATTCTTTGTTTTTAATAGCACAAACCACGTAAGCAATATGATGATCTGTTTCCGTCTCGTAGCTACCAGCGGGTTGCCGGTGTTTCTGGACAGCTGATGGTGAATCTTAGAAGAGTGTGTTCCTCCCTGGGTTATTTGGGTGTCTGGGAGCACCCTGCTTGTGTTTCTGTGTCTGGGACTGCCGTGGTTATCCTGCCTGTTTCACAGATGCGCTTGCTGATGGGAAGGGCAATGCTTAGCAGGAGGCAAGGTGCCTCTCGGGAGGCAGGCAGGGCTGCAGCAGGGAGGGTGCAGCCCCATGGTGATTTTTAGGAGGCATGTCCAAGTTAGAGGCTGTAAACGTATGGCTGCTGGTTTACTGTCGCTGTGGTTTCAGTAATAGGTGTTAAACATGTGGATCCCAGCGCCTTCCCTTCCTTTACAATGAATTAAATAATCTTAACATTTAAAATACTCCACAAGCAGTACAGAATTAATTCTGTAGAGTTGATAAAAACCAAAAGTTGGGAAATGGTAAAATGTCTGTTCGGTTTTTCTGCAGTATAGTTTTCTCTTCTTGGGAGCAAATCCCAGGAAGCGGGAGCTGTGGCTGTACCCAGCTGCTGCAGGGCGCTGTGCGGCCAGGCCCCGTGGCAGCGGGAGCGGGGCAGGACGTGGGCTCAGCGCTGTTTCATACAAATCCTGCAGCACTCCCGAGTTTAAAAACATCTCTTGTCTCAGATCAGGGCAGAGGGAGATCCTCTGAAACGCTGTTGGGTCTGAAATACCCAGCCGTACCACCCTCAGCCATGTTTAAACTTAGGGATATTGAAGTGGGTTTGCTTCTGTCTTGTTCCAATTTATTGCAGAATTACAGTAATTCCCAGGAGGCGGGAGCTGGGGCTGTGCCCAGCTGCTGCAGGGCACTGTGCGGCCAGGCCCCGTGGCAGCGGGAGCGGGGCAGGACGTGGGCTCAGCGCTGTTTCATAGAAATCCTGCAGCACTCCCGAGTTTAAAAACATCTCTTGTCTCAGATCAGGGCAGAGGGAGATCCTCTGAAACGCTGTTGGGTCTGAAATACCCAGCCGTACCACCCTCAGCCATGTTTAAACTTAGGGATATTGAAGTGGGTTTGCTTCTGTCTTGTTCCAATTTATTGCAGAATTACAGTAATTATAGTGCGTGTGGGGGAATGGAAAACTCATTTTAAAACGTGGAAGCAAAATGTTGCTATGGATTAAAGAAGCGTTGGAGTTAGGAGCAGTGCAGGGTTGTTGCTGTCTGTGCTTTCCTGCTGCTTTATAGGGAGGTTAGGCTTAAAGTCTGTATTTGCTGATAACCGTGGGTGTCAGTTGTTATTGATGTCTAGTTGTACATCTTTACATGAATGGAAGAAAACCAGACAACATTTTAGGAAATCTTTCCTGTTATTTGTGAGTAACAATATTGTGGTCTTTCACTGAAGAAATAATTTATTTTTGCTAGTTTACTGCAATCAAAGCTCTGTACCACACTGCATCCGCTTGCCGTCAGCAGGGCTCTCCTGTGGCCTTGCTTAATGAAGGAGGTAATTATCACCTTTACAGAGAGGCTGTGGAGCCTCCTTCTCATTCCAGACCCGCCTGGACACGGTGCTGTGCAGCCTGCTCTGGGTGACCCTGCTTCGGCAGGGGGATTTGACCAGATGACCCACAGAGGGCCCTGCCAACCCCTGCCGTGCTGGGATTCTGTGGGTAGCAAGGGGTAGGTACCGCTACAGCGTTGTGGAAAGCAGCCTGCTGCTGCCCGTGGAAAGGCGGCGCGGCAGCCGAGCGGTGAGCTGGGCAGGCATCTGCTGTTTAAAGATACGCTGCCTACCAGGGGTGTTCCCTGGAGCTCCTGCTCACAGGGTTCCTCGAGGCTGCGGTGCTGGGTGCTGGGGAGGCTCCCGGGGCTGCGGAGGGTCCCTCGCTGCAGCCAGGGGAGCGGGGCCAGGGCACCCGAGAGCTGCACGCCCCAGGGGGATGTCGTTTGGGTTTGGGTTTTGCTTTTCTTTTTTTTGAGTAAGTTAAATAGTTTCTGGGATGTATGAAAATACCTGTCATAAACACGAAATGGAATACCTCCCTGCATTGAATTCCCTGTCCAACCCACGTAGCAGAAAGGCGGTTGCTCGGTTTTGGTTTGGTTCCGGATGTTTGTGAATTTTTGTGTGTGCTGAGCTAAACAAACGCTTTGTTACGTGTTCTGCAATATCCCAAACTTCAGGTGTTACGCAAAAATGACTTAGGAACGTGCTATACCCCATTAGTCCAGACCCTGTAAGGTCAGTTAATAGTTTACCAAAGAAAAAATAAAAGATTTTTGATTAGGGCATTCAAAATGATTTTTAATATTTCAGTAATTCTGTGTGGATGTAACATCCTTGCTCTTTAAAACAGCAGTACCCCTAAAAATTGACCTTAATATATTTTATTTCTTTCTAAGTGTATGTAATATTAGTATTAACTAAACAGCTATTCGTGCTTTGCCTCTTGGACCTAAGACGGGTGTTTCATCACAGGATTTCTCTTTACAAGCTGTGACTGCAGCTTCCTCTCCCAGCGCTCCCAAGAACTGGCGCTCGCAGAGCAACGCCCTGCTGCGGGGACCCCGCGAAATGGCAGAACCCGGCAGTCTCTGGCCTCCGTCCCAGGTGTCTTCCGCGGGCGCTGGGCAGGGACGAGCCAGCACGCCGCGGCTGCTCTGCGCCGGGAGGTAAAAATAGGAGTCAGAAGAGGGACTTTCCACTTGGGTAGAATTCTTCTTTTGGTTTTTTTTGCCTTCTTCCAGTGAAATGAAAGCAAAAGCTGCGTAGGTAGGTCTAGAGCGGAGAGAGAGGGGTGAGTGCTGCGGCGCATCTCTCCTCCAGGCTGTGTCGGCCCTGGTGGGACCGCGGCCCTGCAGCCCTGGTCTCCGGACACGCGTCGTTCCTCGGGAGACCTGTCCCGCGGGCGCACCTCGCGGGTTCTGCCCTGGTTCTGAATCGGTGAGGAGCGGCAGTTGTCACATGTTAATTAGAAGCGTGGGGGAGAAGCAGGAAGACACCTCCATGAATGTGACCGCACGAGGAAGAGGTCACGGCCCTGTCAATCAGAGCCAGATTTTATCGTCCTGCTGTTGAATGCCCCGCTTCATCATTAGTCCTGATGAGGTCTGCGAGGCTGTCCTGAGGGTAGTGCATTAATCAAGAGAAACGCGTGTGGGGTAATGGAGCCCTTAGATATGAGGAGGGTAATTTTAAAACAAGGGTGATTGTGTAGTATATTCAAATTGTGCGCTGGAGTGGCTGAATCAACTCCAGCTCTGGCTCTGCGTTGTTGAAATGCCATAGGATTTTTTTCCTAAATTTGGATGCCTAAAAGCCTGTTAAACTCTCTCCAGCAAAAATAAGCTCTTGAGTTCCTAAATCAAGAAACCGGTTTGCAACAGAAATTAGATTTTTAGCATAATTTTAAAACATTTTTCTTCGTGTTGTTTTTTTTTTTTCTTGGAAAAATACACCTAAGTAGGGTTCATTTTTGAAATTGCATTAACTTCATCAGATGTTCCGAGAGGTGAGTCATCTGACGTTTCCTGAAAACGGAGATGAAGACGTCCTAGCAGTGGGGAGATGGCTGTCAGATGCGGATCTGGTGGGCGGTAGCAGGAGCACG